ACAAGGTCAGAGAGGCCAGATTGAGATGGTTTGGACATGTGCAGAGGAAGGATAGTGGTTATATTGGTAGAAGGATGTTGGAGAAGGAGCTGCCAGGCAAGAGGTCAAGAGGGAGGCCAAAGAGGAGCTATATGGATGTGCTAAAAGAGGACATGAAGTTAATTAGGGTGAGAGTAGAGGATGCCGAGGATAGAGTTAAGTGGAAACAGATGATTTGCTGCGGCGACCCCTAACGGGAACAGCTGAAAGAAGAAGATCTATTCAGGGTAGGTCCACTGAGAGGCCGCCTCTCTTTTGCAGGAGCACCCTGTTTGTTCACAGTCACACCTGGAAGCGGCCCAGAACAACCACTGCCTAACAGGGCACTGGCCTTTTTCAAAGTAATGATTATAGATTTTTTCACACCTTGTGCAATCCTTGTCATAGTGCGCTGTCTCTGACATCGAGAGCAGCCTCACCCTCATTAATACCAGCCGCTCCACTGGAGCACTGCTTTGCCAGCTGTCCCACCCAGGTTTAATCCTGCCCGTCCAGGGGTTGAGCCGGCGACTCTCTGGTCACCTTTAGAGCTCACTGAGATGATATTTGCTGTGTGTCTGCCGACCCTGACTGACTGCCGTCTCTCGGACAGGAAGTCCAGTACAAGTTACAGTTACCAGTACGAGGACCCGGCGGCCTCAGCTTCTGTTAGTAGTGCTAGTCTGGTGCTACTGAATGCATACATTCTTGCCTTCATTTATTTGTGTCCTGGTACTTATGTCTTCTCAGGGAATGGGCGGTCAGTATGGCTACTTCGGCCTGTGGCTGGACAGTGATTTTGGCTGCGGTCATAGTCGTGCACGACCCAAGTGCACTACCTATGGAAGCCCTCAGCTCTCTGGAGAGGAGAACTTCACCCTGGACTCGATGGAAGTATGGGCGGTTGGAAGACCCCCTGAACCAGAGGAGGTCAGTGTACTTGTTCTGTTCTTTTTTGTCTTTATGTGATTTCAGATGCTGGCTGCACAGAACAGGAGACTCCGCCTTAACCCGGCGACAGTTCTTCATTTGTCCTGCAAATGCCAAGGAAGATCCATTGTGCTTTCCCAGGCAATTCTGCCTGTTATAGATCCACATGTTTACATTAATACGTAGCCCGTACCATGTATAGGCATTTCTGAGTGCTGTTTGAATTTTTTGGATGTTACATAATGTTGCATTCAGGCGATCCTCAAACTCCTGCTTAATAATGGAGTGGCTGTATAAACAACCTGTACCACAAATAAAGACATCATTTACCTCCCAGCCTTTTTTAATCATTGTACAGGTGTTTACTTGAGAGAAGAATTCCCCCCTATGATATTGAGTTTTGTGTCTTAGGGTGAGGAGGGAAAGGGCAAGAAGAGTATCCTGAATGCAGATCTAGAGGTCCAGGCCATGATGGAGATGACGGGGAAGACTCTGCACAGTCAGGGCCTCAGGGAGCCGGAGGAAGACCAGAAGTGAAGGGCAACAGGAAGACGGACCGAAACAATCACGACGCCTTGTTGAGTCTCCCAATTCAGCTGATATTGACACATGTTGGGATCTTATCCTCTGACACAGCAGGAAAACATCCACCAGTGGGGTAATGGGGTATAGATGTTGTCAAATTGCAGGAGAAGAGGAGTTTTGTGATTGAAAGGACTTAAGAAATCTCTGCCTGTTGCACATGGAGCACTTATAATTTAGTCCCTGGAACCATTACAACTCTCATAACATGCAGCAATGAGGTCATGTCGTACAATGGCATATTTAAAACATGGACATGAATAATTTGAATACGCTGCTGTGATATTCTGTGTGTAAGCAGTACATTTCTGCAGTGTTAAGCTGCTTGAATCAAACAAGTGCTTTCGCTTTCACTTGTGTTTCTCACCTATGTTAACGGTGGCAGTTTGCTTAGTGTGCCTTAACTTGATCGTGTTGGACTTTGACAGACTGTGAATTATTAGCATTAAACAAGTACAAAGACC